GGAGAGAGAGACGAGGAGCGTGAACAAGCCGGGTGAGGGAGCGAGGAAGAAAGGGGCAGAGAGGAGCAGGAGCAGGAGGAGCAGGAGGAGAAGGAGAAGGAGGAGGAGGTAGAGGAGGAGGAGGAGGAGGAGGGGGAGGTAGAGAGAGCGAGAAGAAGGAAAGAGAGAGCGAGGGACATGCATGCACACTAGGGGGCACTGCGCGATGGCGGCGGACGGGCCGTGCTCCGTTGCGGACGGTGGCGCAAAGCGATTAAGCGATTTTGTTGTGGATCCCGATTCTTCCCTTCGTCGGCTCTCTCTTCCCGGCTTTCCACTTCTCCCGCGCGTCGCCTTTCGCCTCTCCCGCCGGCTGCGCTACGCCGCGAACGCGCCCTAGAACGGAAACCTGGCTTTTTACCCCCGCTGCGCGCCCCATGCTATCCCCACCAGCACCGGCCAATACCGTGACGGTAGACGGTCGAGCTACGGCAGGGCCGTAGCTCTTGGCGTAGCGGTTGTCAGAAGTAGCCGAGAGGAGGCAGCCTTTCGCTTACAAGTAAACCTCGGGGAACGTCAGACGCCGATTTGTTTCCAATTTTTTTATAGTTATTTTTTATGTCAAAATATAAAGAAATCTATTGTCATTTTTAGCTTAAATTAATTTTTTCTATTTTTTCGAAATTTCTGAAGTTTTTTGTTCATTTCTTGTTCATTTTTTCACCAGATTTTGACGTTAAAATGAGTTTGCTGGATAGTGAGCCGAAAGTTTACCCAACGTCGAGTGTAGCGTAAAACTGAACAATTTTTCAACAATGATGTCAGCCATATTAGATCCGCCATTTTGAATTTTATAAAATGGTTCTGATTCATAATCGGCGACATGTGCGTACAAGTTTCAACAGATCAGATATATATATTTTTAAGAAATATTGTTTTAAATATATATAAAATAGTACACTTGTGCAAAACTTGAAAAATTTCGAAAAAATTAAAAAAATTAATTTAAGCTAAAAATAATAACAGATTTCTTCATATTTTGACATAAAAAGTAACTATAAAAAATTGGGAACAAATCGGCGTCTGAGGTTCCCCGAGGTTTACTTGTTAGGCTCTGACACTTGGACTCTTGTTAATGCAAATCCAATTTTTGCCATTTCAGACTCGATCTCTCGTCTATTTGCATTTGATACTTCATTTCTGTCACTGGGTTTTAGGAGTATCTGCGTGTGATCGGAAACGAGTAATTAAAAATTAAAAATATGCGGTTACTAAAGCGCGTCATTCTGGACGCGCTGCTGTTTTCTTCGAGTTGTTTCGTGGATTTTTTTTTTCTTTCTACATAGAGTATAGGTTGCTCAGACGTCTGAAATATTTCTCGGACAAAAGCCGCGACACTCAGTCGATTGCTAATTTACGAGCGGGTGTACAGCAGGATATTCATGTGTGCCACATAATAGCTGATTTCGTTATTCACAGATATAGCATTATCTCGATTCTCACCGCGCTTGAATTCATTTTGTTCCGGAAGAAAGACGCAACTCGTCCCAGTTCCGCGTCCCTATCTGTATAATTACAGTGGTTATATTTTTCTAATCGCTGTACGGGGATCGCAGAAACGCGCGCACAGCTACGCATGATTCAACAAAGGGTTACCATCATGTACAATGTTGCGTGAACATACGAAAATGTTTTAAAACTTCGAAGAAGTTGAATCCTTTACTTGTTTGCAATAAAACACATAGAAATGAAACGTACGAATGCTTCGGATCAATTCAATATCGATATTTTTCACGTAGTTACATCCGGTTTGAGTTATTGTTTCTTTCGATACCTGTCGTCACATTCTCGCTGTGAGAGATATAAAGCATAAAACGCAAACGTCCGATTGGCTTCCTCCGTTTTTTCAAAAATGGCTGCTTCAACGTGTCTTCGCCTACTTTTTCCTTCACACTCTAGCTTCGCACGACAAAAAATGTACTCACCGCTGATGCCCGGGGCATCGGCAGCTCTGTGCCGTCATTGAGCCTCTCGACTGTTCTCTTCATCCCCACTATGACGTTCGTCATGCGCAGAAGCGCATTATAGCGTTCTGCGCCGCGTCTGCCTGCGACGGGGCGAAACGTTTCCGCGGGTCGCGGTTATCCGCTCGCAGAAACTGATCGATCGACTAAGCGCGTAGCGGCGGACGGCCATTGTGTAAAAAGGACCCATGACGCTCGGATAGTGCACGCTGAGGACCCGGCGCGTAGTTTTACCAAGCTCGTCCTCTTGTGATATTTAGACTGTGCCAATATAGGTGAGTAGCAACACACGCTTCTCGTCTAATTTCCGACGCTCGACACCGCCGCTGTCCGTCGTGTCGTGTGGAATGCCGCACTGTCATGAAAAGTTCGGGGAAAATCAGGTCGTTCTCCGCCATGTCCGCTCGCTCGTCCGCTCTCGTCTCCGACGCGTAGTTTCGGACGTGTCGCCAAATTCGCCGCGTTTCTCTCATGTGAAATCGCCCGGCGCGCTCGCCGCCGCGTCCGGCGCGGCTGGATTTTCCGAGCTTTTTCGGGGCTTTTCGCCATTTTGTCGCCCGTGAGCACGATGTCGGCCATTACGGCGACGCGTATCGGGTCGCAACTCGCGAGCCTGGGCCGGTTTATGACGTCGACGTCGACGACGACGACGCGATGCTTGTCGCGTGCGACGTTTTTAACAGGTTCGCCCTCTCGACAAGATCGCTCGCCGTTTCATCCGGTCGTGCGAAATGTTCTCGGGAATCGAAGATGCGGCTTTTGTCGAACTATCGTGCGAGAGAGAGAGAGAGAGAGAGAAGAGAGAGAGAGAGAGAGACAGAGAGAGAGAGAGAGAAAGAGAGAGAGAGAGAGAGAGAGAGAAAGAGAGATACGACGGACGGAGGTTATTGCACTTTAAACGGGTTATCGTCTAATAAAAATGACGCGCACCGGTGTGTTCGTCTTTCACGGAATTTTCAAGCAAGCGGTATGGCCGCGCGGACGTTTGCATGCACATTCGCGCTTAGGATCCTGCCCGACAATTCATCGTGCCGCGTGCGGGAAGTTTATCGCGCGAGCGAGACGGCGAGGATTGACCATTGGGATTTTTCGTGCGAATTCACGTCCGAGTGCGAACGCGAGCCGCGCGCGTGTTTTTACGTCGTGCGTCGGTCGAAGTTGATAAACAGCGCGGTCCGGTCGATAATACCGAGGCAGAGCTGCGTGTCGCTCTCCGAGCTGAGCGCGATGAGACGCGTGTTGTTTGCAAATCTCGACGGAGTTTTGCTGATCCAATTCGGTTCTCGAGTCGCGCCGGCGGCGCTTCGCTGTGAGACAATTAATCGATTTTTTATTACATAAGCGAGTCGACGCGTTATCGCGCGCGCGATTATCGTGGCCTTCGTTTGTGTCTCGCGTCGTGTTGTGTCCTCCGGCTCCCTGCGCCGCATCTGCATGTAGTTGTCAAGCGCGGCATTCGTATGAAATTACCTTATACTAAGACGGTCCGACAGATGGGATGAAAAAGCGACCGAGGTCGCGCCTGAAAGGGTGAGGGATTTGGGAAACGGTCGTCAGCCATTACTGCCGCCAAGGCGTAATGTCCGCACGAAAAACTACGGAGAACCGCCGCCATGATTATTCCGTGTGAGATTTTCCCGGTATCGATGCGAATCGACGCGACGAAGTCTCGGCGTCTCTCCTTCGCGCCAAAATGGCCCCTGTCAGACGCGTCAGTACGCGTAATTGTTTGTTTTGATTATCGGTGTGCATTACACAAGCAGCGGGAACTTGCGTTTGGAAATTGCATAAAAAGATACCTTCAACGTTCTGCCTTCAACGTTCTGTTTTATCTATTTTTAATTACTGGTTATTTTCTCAAATTAACGAGTTGTAGTACGTCAAGTACAATTAGACGCTCGTTATTCTCGAAGGTGATAATTTCGTAGGAAACATAAAATAGGCGCAAAAATATTTCCAAAGAAGGCGAGGTTCGTGGTCGGTAACATCGCTTATTTTTGCATTAACAGATCGATTTTTATCGATCCGCTAATGCTCGTTCATGGCATTGCGATGAATGAAGAAGCGGAATATGTTCATTGGGATTCCGAATTTAAATTTATTCTAATGACCGAGTGCACGAAATGCAATGAGACATGTCGATAAAATGCACATCGAGTCATAGCGGATATCAATTCGAAACGGTAAACATAACAAGTCGATAGAGTCGAACGTAACACGTCTGTCACCATTAAACTATCATGTTTTCAAACATTGACATGCATCATGCATGATTTTGAGTGCATGCTAATGACAGTGACAATACGAGATAATAAAATAAAAGCTGGGAAACCTTAATCGATCGAACAATTATTTGCCCAACGTTTTGAATAAATTTGAAATAAACGGTTCTAAAAGAAGCTGACAGAGAGCGCTACCTGTACAAAAAAAGCAAATATTCGAGATAAGATTGTGTCAGTCGACTTTAAAGTATGCTACCTTCAACTTTACCTTCTACTTTATTTATTTTTAATTACTGGTTACTGACTGATTATTTTCTCAAATTACTGGTTATTTGCTCAAATTTTCTCAAATTTTCTCAAATTACTGGTTATTTGCTCAAATTAACGAGTCGTAATACGTCAAGTACAATTAGACGCTCGTTATTCTCCAAGGTGATAATTTCGTAGGGAACATTATAATGGCGCAAAAATATTTCCGTCCGATGCGTTCACGATGTTAAAGTCACGTCCCCTTCGAGATGGAATCGGACGCGAGCGGCCGCTATGATGAAATGTCGGATTGGAAATCGCGTACGCGTCTCGGCTCTTCGAGCGTCGTCGTCGTCGTCGTGGTCGTCGTCGTCAGCAGCAGCAGCAGCAGGGCTATTCTCAATCACATCGCAGTGGTGAATTTCCGAGCCACGCGCATGCGCGTCTCTCAGTGCTTTCCTGTTTTTTCCATCTCGTTCATTTTGCGAACGCGTTCCTCTTGCGCGGATCGCGCGCGCCACCTGGTGTGATCGTTTGCCGCGGTCGAGCCAGAAGGCGTTTCGTTACGCCATTGTTGTATGGGACAGCGCTCGAGGCGCGCACCGGGCCTGGGGACGCTCCACGCCGTCTTACCGTTTTTCACCAACTCCATTGCTGTGATATTAGATTGTTTTATATCTCCTTACTGGGTGAGTGAGCTCTAACGTAATTAACCGTAGGCGCGCGCGCGCATGCAACGCGGCTGGACGGGGAACGAACGTGTCTGTCGGAAAGTTACAACGCGCGTGGTATGCGTGAGCAGTCACGATACGGTCGGGCGGGTCCGTTGTTTGCGCGACACGTACCTCCGGTAAAAGACGTCCCGCTTCTCGTGATCGTCGTCTGGCCGTCGGGAATACGAAGAGCGCGAATTTCCCGCGTGGAGAGGCGGCCGTTTGCGATTTCAGTGCCATTGTCCAGACGCGACGCATCAGCGCGGGGAATTCGGTCGACGAGTGTGTGTGTATGTGTGCGCGTGCTCTCTCGAGGCATCGATCGCCACGGTTTTCCCCTGCGAGCTTTTCACCCGTCGCCATTTTGTCCGGGCGCGACCTCGCGAACCGCCATATTGCGATCCACGTCTCGTGCTCCGTTTTTGCGGTTTCCAGGGACGGTGTGGGGCGAGAAGAGCCTAGCGTCGCGTTCCCCCTTCCAATTTTTCCCCCCTTTTCTCATGTCATATCTCTCTCTCTCTCCTCTCCCTCTCTCGCTCACTTTCGCACACTCGCGAGAATGAGAGACGTGCGCGCGCGCACGTCTAATACAATCGGAAAAATTATCTGTCAACAATTTGTTTTCGTTTTCGCTCGCATACACGCCGTCACCCGGCGCCGCATGACGTAACACGCTCTTGTACGAGATAACAATATAAATAGATTACGCAATCGTGCGTAGGCTAAGAGAGGATTGGTTTCTTTATGTTTCTCTTTTTCTCTCTCTCTCTCTCTCTCTATTCTTTTTGCTCTCCTTCTCTTCTCGTTTCCCCTCATTTTCCTCTTCTCCCTACTTCTCTCTCCCCATCTTTTTATTCTCTCTCTCTCACTCACTCACTCACTCACTCACTCACTCACTCACTCAACGATTACGTTTCGCGGCTGCGTACCTCGGCTTCATTCCCCCTGCTGCAATAAGTGTCCAGTTCTCGACGTTCCCCACCTTAGTCGGCCAACGCCGCGTGATCGATTTTCCGTATTTATTACGTGCCTTGCTAATGCAAATCGCGCTGACGTAAATCGAGTTAAACCTGTCCCGGTTTTGTCGCGCCTCGGGCAGCGAGGACCGCCGATCTCGTCATGATGGAAATGCGCGTATCGATCCGTTCAGACGATATGCCATCGTAGTAATTCGCTCAACTGTTCGTTTTCAAGTCGCAAGTTCTCGCAAAGTTCATAATCGCGTGAATTTATACACGTAGCGTTACCTCGAGCTACACTTTTCTGGCATTTTCCTCTCTGCGGTCCCTCGACTCTTGAATTTTGTGGACTTTTTACTTAAACGTTCGTTAGTTGATAATCGTTTTCTTCGCGCAAATTTCGCCAAGAGTATGGCATTTACACGCTCTCTCGATATAAGCTTTACACACGCTTAACACGCGGTGCGTAAAATCTTAGAGAATTTTTTCTTAGCGTACCGTCTCCCCCCGCGAAAAGGCTCATCAGAGGCGGCGATAGCAGCAGCCGCCCCTGAGTCCCAGGGGCCTCCGCGCGGCCGTTATTGCGCAAATGGTGCGCGCAGCCCAGACGCAACTGCGCGTGCGCGGTGCTTGCGCGTCCTCCTGCATCATCCCCACCAGACAGTCCATTACCGTTACGAGGACACGCACAAAGGAAAAGGCCAGAAGAGCGAACCGACCGACGCGCTTGCAGCGCACGGCCATTTTGGAAGCTTCGGCGCTTCGTTGCGGAGCTTCCGCTTGCGTCGTCCTCCCGCGAGGGCCGCGTTGCGGATAAGATTGATAAGAACGAAAGGCAGGGACAGAAACAAGTCGAAACGCGTACTTTCGCGTCGGATACGTTGTCCGGCTCGATGTGCGCGATAATAATCGGTCGCGGGAGGACGAGATAGCATCGGCTCAGTCGATCGATAGCGTGTAGAGAGGTGTTCCGTACTCGTGGCCGGTACGTTTGTACGACGCTCGCATCGCATCATCGTTTCGTTTCTTCACCTGTGCAGAAACGAGGGAACGAAGACAGAACTACCATGGAGGACGACCAGCAGTTCTGCCTCAGGTGGAACAACCACCAGAGCACGCTCGTACAAAATTTCGACACACTCCTCGAAAGCGGGACGCTGGTTGACTGTACCCTGGCAGCGGAAGGTAGATACCTTAAGGCCCACAAGGTAGTTCTATCGGCGTGCAGTCCATACTTTGAGGTGGGTGTAATATTATTTTGTTATCGTTCCAACAGCGTGTTTGCTAACTAGTTGAAAAGATCTTCGATTTTGAAGAGTTGTTATTCTTGCGCTATACAGTTGTCAATACTTTTGGTTTTTGGTATATTGTGTTTTATATGTTGATACGGATACAATTATTAAGTTTGCTTTCTCTTCCGCCCTTTGATTTCCTTCTCACTCACAAGTTTTATATTCTTATATTTGATGCCTGATATCTGTTGTCACAGAAATTGAATAATATCCATCTATAAATTAACATCTGTCATTGCGATAATGTTCAATTTGATCAGTAAATTTGCTCATATTGTGATTTTTATTTTACATTTATATCGGTAAATTATTGTACTATGTGAAAGAATTATGATGTAAGGAAAATAATGCAAAAGAAATCATAATTTTACACCATGAAGCTTTTCCGGCTGCTTCTTTGTCTCATTGGTTCTGTGGGGTTAGATCAATACGAAATATAGTGGAAGGGAGTGAGATGGAGTGACGGGAAGCGAGCGGGAGAGGGGGTCTTAAGTTGAAACAAGATGGCCGTGCTTGTTGAACATTGCCTGGGCAAGAGTATGAGGTGCAGTAGAGCAGAGTGGGGAGCAAAAGCCTGAAGCCCCTCTCCTAGCTCCTCTTGATCAATACAGGGAAAGCAAGATGGCTGATTTCCAGGGCACTTGCCCTGGGATTTTACCCTGATGTGGGTGGGGATGCAGAGCGATAGAGAAAGAGAGAGACTGCTGCATCAATTGGATATGCCACCCTATGAAAATTAATAAAGTGCTCGAACTTGTTTACCATTCCAGAAATAGTAGTTTGTGATCTAACAATGCAATATGGAAAAGTTTTTACATTAATTTATCTGTCCCAATAAATAATTTTTGCAAAAAACATGCACTGTATAACCTGTTACTACCTATTTGAATGATTGTATTTACCACATATTCTTCATTTGCCCCTATATGTTTGTTTTGTAATGTATCATTTTGATAGTAAGTTTTTTTCACATCAAAGTAACATCTGCGTACATTCTATTGATCTTGAGTTATAGATTGCATATAGAAGAATAAATGATGTATTCTTCAAAAGTCTATAGACTTTATACGATTAAATGTTTTTATGAGTAAAGATGTATATCAATACAAAATTTCAAGTATTTCCTTCATCTGTTACATGTTGATTGCTTTTCTAGGTAGAATATGTATTCTCGTGTTACAGGGCCTCCTCAGCGAACACTATGACAAGCATCCAATCTTCATACTTAAAGATGTTACGTTTAATGAACTTAAGGCAATGATGGATTACATGTATAGGGGGGAAGTAAATATTGGTCAAGACCAATTGACACCTCTTCTCAAAGCCGCTGAGTCTCTGCAAATTAGGGGTCTTTCCGATAATAGAACGGGTGAAAGTAGGAAGGCAGACTCCAGGCCACAGAAAACCGTCTCACAACCGACAGCACCGTCGTTAGACATTCCACACACGTCTTCCGGTCTGACGATAGAAAAGAACAGAGTTCCTAGGCAGAGTATGGCACAAGGTACCGTGGGGGATTTACCGGAGGACACGGCCAGTCCGCAAGTTTCGAAAGGGATCTCCTCGAGGTAAGTGCTTGAAGAAAGGACAGTCGTGTTGTACCGATCTTATGCAGATACAAATTGTTTCATTCGAGTACATTGCTGTAACATTCGTCCATTCTTTCAATTCCAGGGAAGGATCTCAAAGTCCTATACTAAGAAAAAGGAAGAGGCTTCGGAGAAGAAGCGCAGGCGAAGATACAACAACAGAAAGCCAAGATGCTTCGAATTCGAGCGATATGCCCCAGCAAATGGGTGGCCCGTCGCTTGGAATCACGCCTGTAGCGGAGGAGAGAGTACACGCAGACCCAACTGACTCTCTCGGCAGGTCAGCTCTGATGACACAGCTAACGAAGCCCGCCGACGAGATGCTGCAGGTAAAATATGCGACTAGACTAGTTCTATAGCACTCGTGTGCCAACGTCTAATAGAAACTGTTGTAAAAAGCGCTGTTTCTTTCGCTCGTTGGTAGAGAAAAATTCGCACTTTATCCTGCTGCTTGGACCATATTCTTTCGTTGCCATTGCAGAGTGGAAACGGTGCGATATATCTTATCGTTCCACCGCGGATTATATGTTTCTTCTCTTTTCTCACTTTTATAAGAAAGGGCTCTCGGTACGCGATGACGAGTCTAACATGCCTTCATATGCTGTAGCTGCCACTTGAAAAACCCGAGCCAAGCGATAATCTCGTCGAGCCAAAGTCTGAATACCTCGAGGAGACCGAGGAGGGCGTCGAAGATTTGACGCTAGATGATGATATGAACGATCTTAACGAGATGGAGCAGGACAACAATCGAGCTGGACCGTCCCACGACTCCTCCCAGCATCCTGGTAATTTAGTAATTCCAATTACCGTTACGATGCTTTTACGACTTTTAGTTTCCTTGTAGCGAGATGCAGGGTTCATTTCTCTCTCACTTTTAGACGTTACGAAACGTTAATGACGTGCGCGTAATGATGAAGTTGCGCATTGTTGATAGACGCGTGCCGCGTGTAAAAATACACAGGGTACTCGGCAAGAAATTTCCGGTATTCCGTATAAAATTACACGCTGCGCTGAGAGAGTCAACGACAGAGTAGCGAATCTTCGATCCAATGAAAACGTTCATTTGGATCGAAGCGGAGCTTTTGATGTCTGTATATGATTGGACAGTGATTCTTGAGCGGGAGTCGCGACGTATGACTCGGGCTGACAATTATGTTTTCACTGATTGTAGACATGTAGGTAGGGCTTGTACGTTGAACGAATGAATAGTTCGGTGTGTCGCGAAGACTCAGTCGTTTGGTTGTTTTGTTTGTTATCTGTTAAAACGGGACGTGTAATAATTGGCCGACACTAGCTTGGGTTTCCTCGTTGCAGGTGGGGGGGCGGGAGCGCGGTCTCGAGGGAATTGGGTTAGTGTTGGTGGTGGTGGCGGTGGTGGTGATAATGGTGGTGGTGGTGGTGGTGGTGCCCTATGGGCTTCCCATTTCCTCGATCTTAAAAAAGTGCCAAACATGAGGCGGCCGCGACCAGACGTTGACGTAGGCGCGTTGCTTAAATCGCTGGCGAACAAGCAGGGCAGAAAGTATAGCTTAGACTCGGTTAAAATGTCCCTGGAGGCAATATTGCTACAGGGGGTTAGCACCACTCAGGCGTCCGAGATGTACGGCATTAATCGTTCAACGCTGCAGTTCTATTTGAAAAAATTGAACGTCGTCCGGAGGAGATGGAGGCAACCTCGTCCCCTGATCCAGCCTAGACAGACTTAGTGTGTGCGTGTGTATGAGCCCGCGATTAATGGAAAATAATAACCCACGCACTATTATTCCACGTCGAGCCCGATCGGCGGCGATTTGTTATCGGTATCATTAAACAATCACGGCCTGTTCGGGGTGTTGTTACGTTTGAAATATTTCAAGACTGATTTGCATCTCGTGTATTTGATCGTTTGGATTAGATCGAACGTACCGAGTAGATTGCATGCATATTGTCTGGAGACACATTCCTTCGTCGTTCGCACCTGTTTGACGTTGAAAAAAGTTATCTCTATCTCTCGAATCGAAACTCTCTGGCAAGAATCACTTCCGAACTAGTCGTTGACATCGTAAATCCAAATGAAATGCGCATGCGAGTTGAAAATACGATGTGCTGCGACTGCGCAGGGTACTTGAACTTGAAATAGTCTGGAAAAGAATTGTCAGTATTATTTGTCTGTTCCTTAAATGTTGCGTATAGACTATCTATAAGCTCCCTCTAGATTGTTCAAAAAAAAAATAAAAAAGAAATAAAAAAAATGTTACGTACAGATGTATGTGCAGATGCGCGCATGCACGAACAGACTGCGGGGCGGGTGCATGCGGGGTATTCCCCGCATGCATCACTTGCCGAGTATTACTTGCTGTAACGAGCCGTGAATAGGGGCGATTTAGGGGTGTTATTGTGTAATATAAATGTATCTTAAGCACGCTCTCGCTGTATAAGGGAACATCGTGCGACTTTTCAATCGTGAAGCCCTGTATTTCGTTACATTTATCGGTCAGTCCTTACATCTGTGCCCAGTATTTTTGTTCCCATTTTAAAGAGTTTACGAATAAAAGCACACCCTTTATCCCTAGAAAGCAATATTTTCACTGACGTACGCGTTTTCTTTTTTCTTTTCTGTTTCCCAAGTCGTGAATCACGACTTTTTCGAGGATGTTCGCTCTCGCAGCGAGTTCATACGACTCTTACTGCGCGCGATTTTGCAAATTTTTACTCAACGCCCACCGTCGCGGAAAGAAAGATCGTACACAAACCGTACAGAATGCCGCATAAGACTTATCGGAGGAATACTTGCCCCTTATTTTAGCAGGCCTTGGGGCGTGGCATGTTACTGGTGACCGAAGTAACGCGGGAGGTGTCGTGGGGTCTGTTGGTGGAGCTCCAGGATCCGCGGATGAAGTGTTTCTCGCAGCCCAGGAGGCTGTTCAGGCCCATCGCGACTCTCAAGGTAGGCTCATCCTCACCATTTTCCATCTGTCTCCGACCCCCGTAACAATAGGCACTCGCAATTGGTCAGACTCTCGCCGACGCTCGGAGGGCTCGTCACCCGTGAATATCTCATGTGCGGAAATGTTTCCATACAGACGACATGCCGGGGATATGCGCAGGTTAATCGTAAAGTCTCACGTGCGATTGCTAAATAACGGAGGAACGCGCCGCACTCCTTGGAATGGGCACGGGGCACGTGTGTGGAAAATTTCAATCTGTGCAACACAGTAGCTCTCTCTTTCTCTCTCTTTCTCTCTCTTCTCTCTCTTCTTTCTCTTCTCTCTCTTCTCTCTCTCTCTCTCTCTCTCTCTCTCTCTCTTTCTCATAATACACGGCAGATACGACAATGGCCCATTCACAAGCGAGTGCGTCGATAAGAGTTACGCTGGGTATGCACGCGCGGGTAATACGTGCCTATTGCGCAGGCGGGCGGAGCTTATTTTTCTTTCGCTGTCAATAACGTGGTTCAACCTAGATTCCGGTGCGTTCAAGTGTAGCACGGTCTCTGAAAGAGCTTTTTATTTTATCTATCAGGGCATGTAGAGCTTTCCGTTATAAATTCTCGAGTTCCTCGTATATGTGTGTGTATATATATATATATACATATACATGTATGTATGTATACATACACATCTTTTTCCTTTTTTTTTAACGTAGCGCCGCGACACGAGGCTGACGTAAGACGTTGCCGTGCGCGCCTCTTCTCTCTACCGCGTCGTATCGTACTCTTCATCGATTTCCCCTTGCGTTTCCCACGAGCTTTTCACCTCGTCGCCGGGTGTAGTCTATGCGCGGTCTTTCCTCTCTCTGTGAGTCGCGGCTCGTCTTCGTTTAGCCTCGTAATACGCGACGCTGCGGCCTCTCTCTCCTTCGAAAGGAGTAAGATCGCGCGGAGAGGACATTCCGCGATCACCATCAACCGAGGAGAACACGAGATCAGTCCTCGTGCCATTTTCTCGTCCCCGTGAAACGGCACGAAAGCGACCATTAGCTAGCTGTGTATATCTCGTTACACGAACGACAGTCGCGCGAAACGATAACAATATTAGTGCACAACCCCCTCCGATCGCGATTAAAATTTTTTTTTTACGCAGATCGAGAATGTAGTAGATGAAGGATGGAGTATCGAAGGCGAAGAGACGGATACAAATTTGGATTGCTCGTGTCGCGAAGCGAAGCGAAATAAGTTCGTCGGTAGTTTTCCCAGTCTTTCGGTCTCCCGCGCATTTTTCGATCTCTCTCGCGAGGAAGCGTCAGCGGCGTTTCGCCAATTTCGAAACACACGTTGCTAGATGAGACGATGAAGTCGCGCGTCACGAGTGACTCGACACACGTGGGTGTAAAGATCAGTAGGTAGGTAGGTAGGTAGGTAGGTAGGTAGAGATAGAGATAGATGGATAGATAGCTAGGCAGGCAAACAGGCTGGCAGGGGCTCTCTCTTTCTCTCCCTTCTCTCTCAATGATCTCTACCTTCGAAACCGGTCCGCTCTTTCCACGTTTCACGCGAGCTTCCACGAAGTTGAGTAATGCGTCGTCGCATGATAAATTCAAACGTGTTCGGAGCTTCGACACGTAACCGCATTGTAAAAAAAGCGATTTTACGATCTGTGGTCTTATCATTACTTCCATATGGAACGACGAACGTACCGCGCTGGAATTATTCACGGAAACCCTGAAGCCGGCTGCGCGCGGGTCATGTCGACTCGCGTGCGTGCGTGCGTGCGTGTGTGCGAGCGAGCGTGCGACTTTTCTACGTTTTCACGACCGCGCCCATCGTATAGGTGCCACGCGAAGCGGAAAAACGACGCAGGAAAATTCCAAGGCCGCCGCGCAGTTTCGGCGCGGCCTTCTTGTTGCTATGGGAAATCGAAGCCGTGGGGCAACGCGAGAGAGCTTCTCCGAGGAATGTACCGGTCGGGAAGGGGAGGGGAGAGGGGGTGGTCTCTCTCCGTCTCGATTGCGCGGAGAGTGGCAACCTCTCTTTCCCTCTCGGCTCTTTTCCTTCGCCGCCGTGCGCGCGCGCGCGCTTTACTCGCACGACGTCTTTCGAGAAATTCGACGCCGCGAAGCGAGGTTCCTTCATCGTTTTTCGGTTTACATCGCTGCTGCGCAGCGACGCCAACGCGCACGTGGCGATCGTTTTACGCTGATCGTCGCGAGAAGCCGGTTTTATAGTCGCGTCGTTATAAAATTTTCCGGCGCGCGTTCTAGAATTCCGATTGTAGTATATCTAATCGGCGAGTATTATTCAGGCCGATTGTGCGACTCGAGGTTGCGCGCTATACAGTTGTGCTCGATAATCGATAAAGGAGGAAGAGGCGACTTCTCCAGCCAAGGTCGATCAGTTGAAATGGCGATTCGATCAGATGCTTCCTCTATTTTTACACACCGGCTAACGTTACATCTCGATCAACAGGATTTATTTTATCGCGCTGAGCAGGCAGGATTTTTCCGTCGCGACTAGTCGCAATAATCTATTTATCGCGGCCTCCCGATCGTTCCTTTCTTTTTTCTCTTCTTTTTTTCTTTTTCGTGAGACCACGCTCCGCGTGTGTGTGCGCGTGTAAGGCTCATACGGACAATTTGGTCGAGACGTTCCCACGAAAACTCGCTGGCCTTGGGCCTGATAGAGCTTAGAACGCGAACGCATGGAGGGGAAGTGTGAACGCGCGCGCCGGGGGAATCTCTCTGTCGCGGCGGAAAGAGAAGGACGAAAAACGAGCTAGCGAGCGAGCGAGCGAGCGAGCGAGCGAACGAGTGAGAGAAACGACGTGACTGACGTCGCGATGATTGCGCGGAGAAGATACGTATATTGCGGAGGCCTACATCGACTGACTCTCTCATAGGCGGGGGGATCCGGCAAGGTCACGGAAGGTTCGCGGAGACTCGCGGTATAAAATCAACGTGCGCATTGTGGCCGTGATCCTAGACCCGTCACGTGACGACAGTGTAGAGAGCGACTTGGCAACGCGAATAAAGCGCCTCGCACGCACGGCTTTCTTTTATCTCGCGCTTGCACACATTCGACGTTGGCTTATTCGCGCGCGCGCGCGTGTGCGTGCGTGCGTGCGTGCGTGCGTGCCATAGGGCGACCGTATCTCCGAAGTCAAGCCCGTTTTCGATTATACGTTCGACATACGATCGTTGATATGAGATGATCGCTGATGAGTCTCGCGTCATGCACGTTTTACTCGGCGCGGCCGAGTGGGAGTTGCGTGCGCGTTCGGCCAAACGCAAGCGCGCGCGTGCGCATTTGATCGGACATTCGTGGACGTGTGACTCGCCGACGTCCGGCCGTAAAACGCCAGCGACTTACGCAACTTCCACATGACGAAGAACATTCGAAAAAGAAGAGTCAACGGAGTCATTCTTATTCTTAGTAATGTCGGGTGATGTACGCGGTCTCTTAGGAAGCGCGCGATAATGAAGGAAAAACCAGCATCGTCGGTCGCGATAAGTTTGTCGGGAACGGCGCTCGCGAAAGGAATAGGAAATAAGGAGATTTCGAAATTGGAGAAATGAAATAGGAAGAAAGAAGTAGGACAGTTTTTATCGGCCGACGAGGGTGCGTTGGTCGCGCGGCGCTCTCTCGGAACGATCTTCGAATTACCGGCGGCTACAACAAGCGTCGCGTCCGCCCGAGACGGAGAGCAGGAGAGATAGCTCAGCAGAAAATACAATAAAATCCTCCGTCTCGAGATATATGACCCAGATTCATCGCGATTTCGCGGCACAGGGGCGTTGAACCGTATCGGAGCGACGGTGCGGCATTACGTAACGATCAGAGCCGTGTCGCAGCGCGCTAATGACGCGCGATATCGATGCGAATTTTGCTCCCGACGAGATAGTGGAAGATCTTGTGGCGTCGCATTTCGCGAATATTGTTAGACGCGCGTAACAAGAAACGCTAATGAGTCGGAGGTCGAAACTCGCGCTCGCGATAGCGACATGTGGCGTCGCCGTGTCGCAGGTTGTTACGAGTTATCGTAGGTTGCTTAGTTTGTCGTAGGTTATCTCGGAACATCGCGGTCTTTTCGGAATCTTCTCCCTTTCGAGAACGGAAGATACGCGCATTTCGGCCGTCGTTGTTTGTAGTTACTTATCCGGCAATGCGTGTGTGACGTCACCGCGTAAGATCCCGACCGACGCGGGAATGGAGGCCCGAAGGTGGCATTTAATCGACACGAGTGCATTACTCGGCGCGATTACGCGACACGGTTGCGAACGAACGGAAATTCGAACGGGAAGAAACGTCGCGAGAGAATAAAGCGGTCTCATGGCCGCCGTGTCTCAGTTTGACAACCGCATGCCGAGACGCCGCGCGGCCAGCTGCCTCTCACACCGCGCTGCATCTGCCAGCCGGTCGACAGCTGCTCGCAACGCGTTAGCAGATGCAGTTGTGTGTGTGTGTGTGTGTGTTCGTGTGTGGGTGTGTGTGTGTGTATGTGTGCGCGCGCGCGCGAGAGAGAGAGAAAGAGGAGCCGGTCGCGCGCGGCCCAGATGGCGGAGCGGAAATCGCGCGCGCATCGGCCGCCGCATCCTTCGCGAATCGGAGGAAACTAGGGATCCGCGCGCGTGGGACTTCCTCGGAGCGAAAAGAGCGGAGCGTGTTGCTCCGCAAAGCGGAAGACGGCGCTCTCGCCAACTCGAGAACTAACGCGACTAACGGTATGCTTTAGTTTCCCGGTTCTCATTGAGGCGCGATAGTTCAGACCTTCTCAAGACATCAAAAGAGAGAGAAAGCGAGAGAGAGAGAGAGAGAGAGAGAGAGAGAGAGAGAGAGAGAGAGAGAGAGAGAGAGAGAGAGAGAGAGAAATATGCTGGTTTGTTTTGTCCTGCGAGAAGAGGATAGGTTAGCCTGTTAGGCAGGAGGAAGAGGAGGAGGGGGTTTTGTTTGCCAGACGCGAGCGCGGGAGTTTCCGTTTTGTATTTTTTTTCTCTTTTTTTTCTTTCCTGAGT